GGACAGGGACAGCAGGGTGACCCGTTTCTGGGGACTGGGGACTACAGGTAACCAGGAGGGCAGAATCGCCCCAAAGTGGGAGAGCAGGGCGGAAGGAAGGGCCGCACCACCCAGGGTCAGCGGACAAGACGGGCATCCTGGGATAGGAGCCACAGGCAAGTCCACTCTCACACAGACCACAGTGATAATGATGAAGGCCACTGGAATTCCTGCCCGGGACCCCCACTGGGTCATCTCCCGAAGGCCCACCCTGGGACATGGCCAGAGCCCCCACAGGGCCTTGAGGTGGGCCTCCCGATGAATCTATGAATGGCGGGGAGGACTTGCGGTCCCCACGCCTCCACCTTTCTCTTCAAGCCTGGCCACAGCCAAGGGACTGGCAAAAACACAGGCCAGCCCCAGAAGTTTGAACAAACGTGTTTGTCTGAGCAGCAAGGGCCAGACTGACTGGTCAGAGAGAGGCAGGTGGAGCCCCCGAGGGGGCCCTCGGTCCCCCTTCACGTCTGCATATGAACGGCACCTCGTGACTCAGTCTCAGTAGCCAAACAGGACATGCCCCTAAGGAGCACCTGGCCCTAGTTGTTTCTCCCGCCTGGAACCTCCAACCATCTGCTCAGGCTCAGGGAGGATGGGCAGGTGATGGACCTTGGTGTCACCAGCCACTGGCTATCAGGAGGGCAGCACTGACCCCAGGACAGAGCTGGGAGGGGTGGGGACCAGGAGGCTGGGGTGGGCGCAGCCCAAGGAGGCAGGGGAGGAGGGGTGGATGCTGAATGGACAGGATGCATGAGAAGAGACAAGGGTCAAATGGAAAACTGACCACAGCCCCGTGAGCCCGCCGGTTCCCAAGAAGCACCCTCGGTGATTGAAGTGGGGGGGGGGACCGTGGGGGACACACCTTTGGGGGCCGGGATCCTGAGCAGGATGTTGGCGAGGACAGCCTTCTTCTCCCGGACGGTGGAGGTCAGGTGCTCGTGGTCCAGCAGGTCCAGGAAGAGGCGGAGCTCCACGATTAACTCCTCCATGGCTGGGGAGACAGGAGGGAGGGTGAGCATGGGCCCACTGACCAGGAAGAGCCAAGCAGTTCCTTAGGAGTGTGACCGCGGGACTCAGAACCCCGCCGTGGAGGCCCACGGCTGTGGTGGCTGAGGGGGAGAAGCCTTGACCCGCATCCCACAGACCTGGTTCTCCCACATCCAGAGCCTCTGCAGGGCCCTGTGTGCAGCTCAGTGTCAGGTCTCCGTGCCCAGGCTGAGGCAGACCTGGAGGCTGACTTCTGAAAACCACAAGGTCAACATGGCACCCCCATTGTCAGGGGCACTGTCTGCTGCCACCAAGTAACCGCAGGACGCCCAGCCCGGCGTCAGCCCAGGCTCACGTATGCCCCAGCTGATCTTGGGAAGGAGC